TGAATTCATGGTGCTCTCTGGATGTAGGTGAGCTACAACTCCAAAACTCAAGGTCAGTGCCCACCAAACCCTTCTAGTGTTTTCTCTTAGTTATGGGGAGTTCTGTGTGCCAAATCTGGTACAAATCCATCGTCAATGGAGTTCAGAATGCTCTTTGATTGTAGGTGAACTATAAATCCTAGCAACTACAACTCCCAAATGACTAAATCAATCCCCCCACCCCCATTACAGTTATGAAGTAGCAACAGAAATAATGTTATGGTTGGGGGTCTCCACAACCTGAGGAACTGTATTAAGGGGTCGTATTTTAAGAAGGCTGAGAAACACTGCTCTATATCACTAGTAACAACAACTGCTTCTTCTCCTTCACCATCTTCTTTTCCTTCTAATTCTACTTCATCATCTCCTTCTCCTTCTTCTCCATCTCCATCTTGTCCACCTCCTCCTCCTCCTTCTATCTCCTGCTCCTCTGTTTATTTATATCCTTTCTTAAAAGAGACTCATACCACCATGTAACTCTGCAGTCTCAGAGCAGAAGGGTTCTTCACAGCTGTGGGCTTCTCTCGTCAACTGTTTTTGGAGATGCCTAGCTGTGCCTTCTGGGTCCATGGCATTTTTGCAGGAAGCCAAAACAGAACGAATGTTTGGCGCTGTTTGCCAAGCGTGTTTATTGCTTTTGCATAATTTATGAGCTGGCGGGTGGGCTCGACTGTTGTTCACCTCTGCCAAGTTGGCCCATCGGTACTGAGAGATCTCCCAAATCCTCTGATCGCTGGTGGGATTGAATGCTGCAAACGGGCCCTGGTTTCTCACCAAGGCATACATGCTGTGGCTTGGTTGGACTTTCCCTGGCAATCTCGCTGCTTGCCAAAGCTATCAGTCTGTGGGCAAGATTGGGTTCTATCTCTCTATTTTGCCCCTTTTTTAATCAGCTTGGCACCTGTATTGATTCCATAATGGACACCAATTGGTCTCAGCCTTTTGCCATATGCTTGGCTCTGGAGATGCTGGGTATTTCAGTGATGATTTGATGGAAGAATTAAGTGGACCTTGAAATTAGAACTGGACTGTCAGAAGAGGCAGGAAGAAATAATACATTGGCGATGGGAGTGATGGTTTCTGGGGAATGCCATGCTGCTTGCTCACCGCAGTGCAGGCAAACATTGTATTTGAACATTCAGATGGTGGTGATCAGCTTCTCAGTGGAATCTAATGAGTTATGGTATGGGGCTCATGGTAGGAGAAAAACACACTCTTCCCCCCAAGGAAATCTATCTGATTCAATGCGTAAACATTCTAGTAATCTACAAGCTATTACATTGCAGGAGAAGGATACATTAACTCGATGTTAAAGATATGCAGATGGCGATACGATCAATCCCACCATCTGACACCAATTATAAAGGCACCTTTATGGCTATCTGGGCAGGGGGTCAAACAGATCCCACCAACTGTCCCTCTAATATAAAGACTTCACTGGCACCTATAGAACGTTTGAGGGGATGTCTCTCTATTTAAACTTTCGCTGCCACCATAAACTAAATGAACAGGAACCCTCTAGCTGGTTAAACTATTAAAACAGCTTTTTAGACCACCAAGTACTGTGTCTTTTAAATGGCTTCTTTGAAGGAAAACAGGTGAGGTTGATTTAAAAGGAAAATGGACTAAATCCACAAATGTACACTTGACTCAGGCTGTTTTAGGTTTTAAAAATAATCAAGTAAAGTTTATTGATAAAGTACAGAATGAAGTGAATGCAGTTTAATAAGCTTGGCTGTTACAGATAAAATGTTCTTGTTCTTGAAAGCGTAACGGTTGCATGAGAATGGTTCTTTCTTTGTTACAAATTACAAAACCCAGCTATTTCTTCCCTAAATAGCTGTAACCAGTTTGCCACAGCTTACTTCGCTGGCAAACTTCAGGCAAACTGCCTATTCTAATCACGAACTCCTAAAACTTCTGTAATCCTGCTCTAACTCTAACATCAACAGACTGACTCACTAAAAAGCTTCTTTCTTTCCCTCCAAACAGTCTAACTCCGCCCCCCTTTAATAAACCAATCCTGGCTGCTCTAAGGCTGGCTCAGGCCTAGGCCACTCCCCCTCTCTGAAATGGAGCTTTCCCTAAACTAAAATGGCTCCTGCTGCCCTCTGCCAGGCCTTCTAAGGCTGAAACTAACTAGCCTGCCTCTCCTAGGCCCTGCCATCCAGGCTGGCAAGGTAAGGGATCTTCACAATCAGCATAAAACATTATGTGAAGGACCATGAACCAAGCAGTAAAACACAAGGTCCAAGGCTTATGTCCTGATACCTCTGGGATGGCTGGGAATGCCCCAATCTTTCAAGGCAGTACCTTTCAGTAATTTAGGAATTCAATTCTTTTGATGCTTGAGTAGATGGGATTTGTTGCATAAAACTTCTGAATGGTTCCATGTTAGAGAAAACAGTTATAAATCATACGAAGCTACATAGGTGGATGGTCTGATCTGATACTAAATCAGATCATCCACCTATGTATCTTCGTAGTTGTTCTTTATAAGCTCCTTTACAAATTCTGAGTTTGTTTGTTGTGGTTTGTTGAGCTGAAGGAAGGAGGAACTGTCTTCTGATACTCTTCTCCTGGGTTCTTTTCTTGTGGTTTCAAGCAGTGTAAGAAGGGTTTACAGCTTGAGGACTGCGGTTAGAGGCAAGCAGAGAATTGATACCACAAGAGAAGGAAAATTGTGATGAAGAACTGAGACAATGACTGAAAGTGTTGACAAACATGAGGCTGTCTGTAAAAAGGTAACCACGATGATCAAAGGTCTGGACACCAAGCCTCATGAGGAATGACTTAGGGAGTTGAATATGTTCAGCTTGGAGAAGAGAAGACTGAGAAATGACTTAGTAGTTGAGTATATTCAGCTTGGAGAAGAGAAGACTGAGAAATGACATAGAGAGTTGAGTATGTTCAGCTTGGAGAAAAGAAGACTGATAAATGACTTAGGGAGTTGAGTATGGTTGGCTTGGAGAAGACTGAGGAATGACTTAGGGAGTTGAGTATGTTCAGCTTGGAGAAGAGAAGACTGAGGAATGACTTAAGGAGCTGAGTATGTTTAGCTTGGAGAAGAGAAGACTGAGGAATGACTTAGGGAGTTGAGTATGTTCAGCTTGGAGAAAAGAAGACTGAGGAATGGCTTAGGTAGTTAAGTATGCTTGGCTTGGAGAAGACTGAGGAATGACTTAGGGAGTTGAGTATGTTCAGCTTAGAGAAGAGAAGACTGAGAAATGATTTAGGGAGTTCAGTATGCTCAGCTTGGAGAAGAGAAGACTGAGGAATGGTTTAGGGAGTTCAGTATGCTCAGCTTGGAGAAGAGAAGACTGAAGAATGATTTAAGGAGTTCAGTATGCTCAGCTTGGAGAAGAGAAGACTAAGGAGTAACATTACAGCCATTTTGAAATATCAAAAGGGATGTCTTGTAGAAGATGGAGCAAGCTGTTTAAGAGATGAGGACACTAACCAATGGATTCCAATTAGAAGAAGAGAGATTCCACCTAAACATTTTGACTGCAAGGGCTGTTTGACAATGGAATAAATAGCCTGGGGAGGGGAGGGGGTAATGGATTCTCCCTCTTTGAAGCTCAAAAGTTAGATAGGCATCTTTTAGGAGTGAAGTGATTGTATATTCCTGTATGGCAGTGGTTCCTAACCTGTGGTCTATGGACCACCAGTGGTCCGCAAGAACTAAAATATGATCTGTGGCCTCACCATTAGCTCACAGTTGCAATGAGAGTGACTGGTCTGGTGAAACCCTCTTATAGTGTCGAGGCTTATGGAATGTGGTTTTCTGTGGGCAAGCAGATTGTGATTACTAAATGGCATATGTTCTGTATCAGAAACTGGAGCCGATGTGGTCAATCCAGTGCCATTTTCTGAATCAACACACCAAATAACCAAACCAAATCCAAAGTTGACCAAAAACTGATTAGTAACCCTTTGGGTAATAATGTTGGAGAGTAGTCCCTGGTCAAAGTGGTCCTGGGTCAAAGTGGTTCTTGGTCAAAGTGGTGCTTGGTCAAAAGAATGGGGCAATTCCTTTTTCTTTTCTTTTTTGGAAAAGTAAAGGTACAGTATTCAAATTGACACAAGGAGAACTCAGTTCTCTGTCTTTTTTAGTACTTGATTTTTTTGAGCAAAATTTCTAGACTTGTACATATAGGGCAGTATTTCTCAACTTGCGGGTCGGGACCCCGGGAGGGGAGATCATGAGGTGGTGTCAGAGGGGTTGCCAGAGACAATCACAAAACACAGAATTTTCTGTTGATCGTGGGGGTTCTGTGTGGGAAGTTTGGCCCAGTTCTTTCGTTGGTGGGGTTCAGAATGCCCTTTGATTGTAGGTGAACTATCAATCCCAGCAACTACAACTCCCAAATGTCAAGATCTATTTTCCCCAAACTCCACCATTGTTAACATTTGGGCATGTTGAGTATTCGTGCCAAGTTTGACCCAGATCCATCATTGTTTGAGACCACAGTGCTCTTTGGATGTAGGTGAACTACAACTCCCAAACTCAAGGTCAATGCCCTCCAAACCCTTCCAGTATTTTCTGTTAGTCATGGGAGTTCTGTGTGCCAAGTTTGGTTCAATATCATCGTGGGTGGAGTTGAGAATGCTCTTTGATTGTAGGTTAACTATAAATCCCAGCAACTACAACTCCCAAATGACAAAATCAGTCTCCCCAACCCCACCAGTATTCAAATTTGGCCATACTGGGTGTTTGTGCCAAATTTAGTGCAGTGAATGAAAATACATCCTGCATGTCAGATATTTACATGACGATTCATAACAGTAGCAAAATTACAGTTATGGAAGTAGCAATGAAAATAATGTTATGGTTGGGGGTCACCACAACATGAGGAACTGTATTAAGGGGCCGCAGCAATAGGAAGGATGAGTAACATTGGTATAGAGCAATTTATACATTCTATTTTTTAAATACAGTCCTTTTGTTTCTGTTACAGTGTGACAGTGACAGCGATCAAGAAGAAAAGGTAAGGATTGACTTCTATTGCCTTATCCCTTGTTTTGGCCATCTTTGGTCACATTTCTTCAGGACGGAACAATGAATGTGGATTTTAACCTTCCCAGCACATGATGTTTGAAACACTGTGCTCCTGAGTAATACTTTGAAATGTATTGAATTTTGGTCACTGAAAGAAATGTCTGGAAACTCTTTTTTCCTTGACATATTGCGTCTTTCTGCTTTGACACTTATTTAAATGTCAACATCTTACTTTTGGACTGTATCTTGGTTACACACCAAATGAATGGCAGGCTTTGTGATACTTCTTTTCAAACTGGTGGTCACAGACTGGCCAATGACTTCCTAAGGGCAATATGAAATGCACTGTATTATGTGTGTACCTGACATCTTCATGGAAAAGAAATACTTGTTGTACGACAATTGAATAAAAAAATATAATAAGCGAGAAACCTTTCAGGTCAGTCAACAGCGTACACACCATACGAGTCAACAGCATATGTACAATAACTTCTTTGTTGGTATAATTTTTTAAAATGACGGAAACTGTGTCTTGAAATGGAAGGTTATATGATCTTCATATTTTTATGATCAAAAGAGGACAATATGTCCCCTCCTCACTAAAAATCTAATGCCAAACCAGCCTCTAAACTCCTCTTCGATGCAGACATATGGTGTGAAAACTTGACTGTTAATTGAGATAGAGTGCAAGCAAGGTTTATAAGAGATCTTCTAAATGTGCCTTCTTGCGTACCTAATGCGGCCCTGCTTCTAGAAACAGTGAATGCCTACTGAGTACTAGGGGTTGGACTCTCAAAATCTAGTTAAAAACTATGGTATTCAAACTGGGAACAGGTTTACTACATCAAACCCCTTTGGGCATGGAAGACTGAAAGAAAAGCAGCCACAATTGAACTATCCGCACCCCTTCTGCTCCATTTGGGACTCAAAATGATGCAAAAACACCTGAAGCAAAGGTTGCAGGACATTTCTCTGGGAGAGCTTTGAGATCACTCAAGTTCACCAAGCTCCCCCAGAATCCAAAATTTACCACACAGGGAGACATTTAAGATATGCCTAAAAAGTCTTACAGTGACTAGATATCGCAGACTCTTTACAAAGGCGAGATTAAACGTATTTCCCTCAGAGCTGGAATTTCTTTCTCCCAAAGACTATGCCCCTGTGAAGGAAAGGAAATAGAAACAATAGAGTACCTTTTATTGCAGTACTGCTGCTACACAATGAAACATGGCCAACTTTTATATCCAGTCCTATCCCACATGACCTGCCATCCCTTGCAGAGGATTGCTAGATATCTTTTAGAGGGCAAGTACTACCGAATGACTCTCATAGTGGCAAAATTCCTCACAATGGCAACAAGGCTGAGAAAACAATTAACCTCTGATAGGGGTATTACTTGAAACCATTTAGATGTATCTTGTGCAGTGGACTTTTCCTGACATTAGAGAATTCATAATGATTGTTAGTTTTATTGATGGGTCTGTGGACCGTAATAAATATTGTATTGTATATTTTTATGCACTATGCAGTTCATTTGCTGATCAATAACTGTTTATGATTGACTATGTAATGACAAATACCTCTCTCCAAAAGTTCACTTTGGATCCTCTTCGTTTGAGGAGCCTCCTGTATTCCTTGGGCTTCAAGGCCCTGTGAAGCCAACCTGTAGTCAAAACTTCCTCACCTTAATGGTATTATGGAGACAGTGGTCTTTTTGCATATTTATTTATTTATTTATTTATTTACTATATTTGTATACCGCTCTTCTCACCCCTGGGGCAACTCAGAGCAGTTAACAATAGCAAAACTCAATGCTCAAAAAATCATAAAACAGTTAAAAACAATTAAAGACAGTAGCATAGGAAACAGTCAATATAAATCAATAAAACATCTCATAGCATCTCATAGGTAAAATCAAGATCCAGTCTCATCGTCCATTTGTTCCATATTCCTATGTTCGTTACACTGCCTATTCAAATGCCTGCTCGAACAACCAGGTCTTCACTTTCCTCCAAAATTTCAACAGGGAGGGGACCGATCTAATATCTGTAGGAAGGGCGTTCCACAGCCGAGAGGCCACTCCTGAGAAGGCCCTGTCTCTCGTCCCCGCCAAACGTACTTGTGATGCAGGTGGGATCGAGAGCAGGGCCTCCCCAGATGATCTTAACACCTTAGCTGGTTCATAGGAGGAGATGCGTTTGGACAGGTAAGTTGGGCCAGAACCATTTAGGAATTTATATTGTGCCCAGTAGCAAACTGGCAGCCAGTGGAGCTGGCGCAACAGAGGAGCCAGTGGAGCTGGTGCAACAGAGCTCCCTGAACGCCGCTCCTGTTAGTAACCTGGCTGCCGACCATTGGACCATTTGAAGCTTCCGGACAGTCTTCAAAGGTAACCCCACATCGAGAGCGTTGCAGTAGTCTATACAGGATGTAACCAGAACGTGGGCTACCGTGGCCAAGTCAGACTTCCCAAGGTACGGGCACAGCTGGCACACAAATTTTAATTAATTTATAGCATAGGCGATATTATGTAAGTGGACACCTCTGCCACATACACACATATACATTTTTCACTTTTATTATGTGTCTAGATAGATGTATTGATTACACCACAAATTTTAGTTAGTTCTTTCCAAGCACTATGGATTATTCTGGTTGATATTGCAATGTGAGCCAAACTAATTTTCCCTAATGCCTGTTATGTTTTCACCGGAAGACAGCAGGGTGCTTTCAAAATGTCTGATCTTAATTTCTTTCTTCTGTTGATTTTGTATTAGTGTTTGCAAATTCGTTCTATGTTTCTGTTATTGTTGTTGTTGTTATTATTATATTCCCTTTTAAATGAGGTGTTTGCAGAAGAATTAATGTAGAAATGGGTGTATAGATATTTCCCACCGCCTTCCTTGGTAGCCCTCACCAGTGCCTTGTGCATTCATTGTGAATTCAGCAGATGTCGCCCATTCTGAAAAAAAGAAAAAAGAGACCCATCATCATTATTTGAATGGGTCAAGCATATTCAGATGAAGACAAATGGTACTTATTTGATTTCTTTTAAATCAGGAAATGAAAAAAGTGCTCCCGGGAGAAATCATGTTCTGCCTGGCTTAGATGATAGACCAAGGCGTAGACCGCAGATAAGAAGAGGCATTTGTCTTTTCTTTTTTTCCTTTTTTCTGAATCTATGAAGGACGGTCGAAACTGTCAGCTCACTGCCATACGCATTATCCATGTCATTTTAAACAAAGTGACCTGGAGAAAAGAGCGCTCTGGCATGACGTGATAATGGTCTGTTGCTTGACAGGTAAAGCACATGCTATAAAGAGAGGTTGCGTGTTACTCCTTTGTTTAACTGACAAGTTTGGAATTTCCTTTCATTCCGACACGCAGCGATCTCTGGGATCGGTCTTCACTACGTACTAAAGGAAACCGAGGGTATTTTGCAACATATAGGGAGGGAAAGAGGGAATCCTCTCCAAAATGTGGTGGTAAACCATTTTGTGGGTCCTTCACTTTAGATCAGGGGTGAGGAAACCCCATGTGCTGGAGTACAATTTCCAGGAATGATGGGATTTTTCAACCAGTAGTATCTGGAGGCATCATGTTGGGGGATAGCAAGATAGTCCAAATCACAATTTGATGGATCTCGGGTTGGAGCACGCCCAGCAGATTGTATCCTCTGTATCTACATGTAAGAGGTTTTAAAAATAGAAACAAAGGCTATTTTATTTTTTCGTGTCCGGAGTGACTTGAGAAACTGCAAGTCGCTTCTGGTGTGAGATAATTTACCGTCTGCAAGGACGTTGTCCAGGGGATGCCCAGATGTTTTGATATTTTACCATCCTTGTGGGAGGCTTCTCTCATGTCCCCGCATTGGAAGCTGGAGCTGACAGAGGGAGCTCATCTGCACTCTTCCCGGATTAGAACCTGCGACCTGTCAGTCTTCAGTCCTGCCGGCACAAGGGTTTAATCCACCGCCATATATATATATAAAAATGTAATAATAAAAATAGAGTAAAATAATAAATGTAATAATAACAATAATAAAAGAGTCAAATAATAATAGAGTGAAGTAGGCTTGGGTAACCACGGAAAAATTTGGTTCTAAACTCGTTTTGTTTTTAGGGGGCCCTTGCATTTCGTTTTTTTAATAATTCCGAAATTTTCCTTTAAAATTTTTCGAAATTTACGAAATTTCGTAAAATTACGAATCAATTCGTTAATGGCGGACGAGATTGCACAATATGCTAAAAAAAACCTCCAAATGGGACAGGAGGAACTTCTGAAGGTTCCCTCTCCCTCTGTTGTTGACTGTTGGTGTGATAACACAAACAACAACAATAAAACTTGCACCAGACATGCAAAAATAATTACAAAATAATTACAAAATAATTACGAAATAATTACAAAATAATTACGAAATAAATCGAAAAAATTGTTTCGAATCTTAATTACTCCTCACACTATTCCTGCATGGCTCAATATTGGATCGTAAGCTAATTTAAATACGAATTAATAACGAATTACGAAATTAACGAACAAAACCGCCCGAGCCTAGAGTGAAGTAATGTAAATGTAATAATAATAGAGTAAAATAATAAATGTAATAAAATAATAATAAGGCTATGATTTATGGTAAATATTAGCATAAATAGGTTAGCATTATTGGTATAGAAACATGTATCGGTATAAAGAGAGCCAATGTGGTCTAAGCTTTGGGCTATGACTCTAGAGAATAGGGTTTGAATTCCCTCTTGGACATAGACACCTATGGAGTATGGTTCCGGAGACCAGGGCTTAAATTCCTTCTTGGGCAAAGAAACCAGAAATGGGCAGCATATGGTTCTGGAGATATCCATCTTCAGAACCATATGGAGTATGGTTCTGGAGATCAAGGTTTTAATTCCTTCTAGGACACAGAAAGTTATGGATTGTGGTTTTGGAGATTAGGACTTGAATTCCCTTTTGGACATAGAAACCTATTGACTATAG